GCAGGAAAACAGAAAACACATACAAATAAAACAAAACCAACAGACCACCAACCTTTGCAATCTTCGACATAGCCATAATTTCTACTTCATTTTTAGCTAATGGTGGAAATTAGTCTTTGGATAGTTGATAAAAATCAACCTGTCTCTGCTGGGTTAGTACCATGATCTGTGGCCCAGCAACTACTTCTAGTACAATTGATTTTCCTTTTTGGCAACCAATAGGCCAGTCAATAATAATGTTGTTTGAGAACGATTGAGTCATGCGGGAGATGAACCCTCCCTGCCATTTATTATGTTTGTATTGTCTTCATTTGAAAAGATTTTTTTTTTCTTTTTTTTTTTTCCTTTCCAATGAGGACGTGAGTGAAGGTATTACAAGGGGACGGCTACTCCAGAATCCCTCCGACTCACAAGTGTGTTAGCATGCAAATAGGAAGATGCACCAAAGAGCAACCAAGTCTCTCTGCAGACAGCACAGACACTAGATGCTTTTCACTGAAATTACTGGCGTATATGAATGAATAAAAGAAGAGTCCGCATTTACTAGCAACAGATTTCCTAACCTGATGTTTTTCAGCTTTGGTTCTCACATTTCCTTCTCAAGACTCCTGAGGGTCCATGGGTGACCACTGAGAACCTGCTGACAAGTGGTTTGAAGTCTCAATACAGTGATTTGCACCTTTATTAGGAAAGTGAAAGGTCAGCAAATAAAACCTGAACATCGGTTATAGCTTTTTTCATCCTTGTAGTCATAACTACAGTATAATTTTAGCATACACAAATGATTACCATACCATTGATAAGATGATTAATAGAACCGCACAATGATGTAGTTTAAAAATCATAAAATAGTATTTAGATACAATTTTAACTCAACTGCTCTACCACACAGATATGTACACAGTTCCACTTACAACCAACAATATTTATTTTAAGGCTTGTTCACATGGCCAGGTAGGCTCGCAAAGCTTTTTCAGAGCAAGCTGATCTGTGGCAACCACTCCAACATAGTTCCCCATGCACTCCCGAGGGCACACCCTGAATGCAGAGATTATTATTTTGGAGTAAAGAGTACCCACAAATGGAACAAAGTGCAGCCACAGCAAGCCTGGAAGCAGAGCCTTATGGTCTACTGTTTTGATGTTATGAACTAGAGATGCTATTTGTCATCCTTTCTCTCACTCTACCACGATGCCCTTCATCTTTCTTAAAACAGCACAAGTAATTTGTATACCTGCAATGCTCCCTGAGGAGGATGAGCAATCACGGGGCGCCTTTGCACCAGAGCACAGAATCCTCCTTTTCAAGCCACCTTACTCGCCTTGCTCTCGCAGGAGGAGGTGACCAGCCCCAAGAGCACTCTTCCACCTAACAGCACCGAAGCGGTACGCTGTGCCTCAGCTTCCCCCTCAGTACACTAAAGAAGCTCCTCTGAAAGCTGGTTGAGCAGCACCAGGAGCGGAGCAGAGTTCTGCCGTCTCCTCCACACTGGCACTGCACCATCAGATACAACTGAGGTGAAATAAAGTCTCTGACCAGACCAGCTCGCTGCTCCTGGCATGGGAACACTGAGAGTGCCCTGGCACAGCCGCAGGGGAGCACAATGTGGGGCTGGAGGAAATATTGCAAGGAAAAAATTCCCTGTAGGGGGAAAAAGGTTGTTCTTTTGTTGCTCATCCTCTGCAAGGAAAACTTAATTCATGTCTTCATATATTTTAAAGCTAGAAATGGATATTATAATCACATTGCTGAGCTCCTTCCTAACTGTTACGTTATGAATATACTCCCCTTCCTTTCACTCCATCACTCAGTTAGAAGCCTACATGTCAGGCAAACAGCTCCAGTGGAAGGAGGCTGTTTTCAGACTGAGCATCTCCAGCAGAGCTGCAAATTACCATACCACCACCCACTTTGAAATGGCCTCTGGCTCTGAAGATTTAGGTAATTCAATTACACAAATGCCCCTTTTCAACAAAGCAGAGAAGCCTGTTGCCTTTCTGTATCCCCTTGCCCATGGCAATCGCTTACCACCTCTTTTCAAATGTGGTATTAGAGCTAATTATGAACAAATCAGAGAACTCAATGGCTGCAGCTTTTCAGTGAACCACCCTTTTTGAAAGCGCAGTACCACTGTTTAAAACAAAAACCACGGCGCTGGACCACGGCAGTCCAGGAGCGTGTGGTTATTCCCAGAATTAAAAAGCGGTTTCGAGCACGCTACAGGAATGAGCGGAGCCAGGCGACCTCTCCTCCTGCTCCCAAGCTGCCTGTTTATTAACAATGAGCAGTAAGTTGACTCTTGCAGAGCCTCTTGATCTAGAGACTGCAAATAGTTTGATAACACACAGCACAAAGATAACTAAAATAAGGCAGCAAAAAGAGAATAAGGCACATCTGCAGGCACAGTGAACTGGTATGACTTGCTCCAGGTCACCTAGCAGAACACCACCATCACCATCTGCTTAGGGCAGCTAAATCCTTTAGCACACTCCAAGAGAGCCAAGATGGAAGAGCATTTATTAAAAAGGTAATGGAAGAGAGCATAAATCTGTCGTGCTGTTTGACTAACTTTTTAGAAGCATACTAAAACACAGGCAATTTAAAAAAAAAAATTGGTCTATAACATTTCACTCCTTCACTACCAGCTCATAACTCTCCTAATCCCTAATTTATTCTTTATCTCTTTTTCTGCCTGCATGTACGTACTGCTGCAAAATTGAAGGACAGAGAAAAACACCTGAAAACCTGAGCGGCGGATGGAAATCGCAGAGGCTGCTTGCACGCCGGGCTCTGGCAGAGGTGCTGCATGCAGCCTGCGAAGGGAACCTCTACCGAGAGCACATCACTCTGAAATAACAGCGCCGCTGATCCAAGTCACCGCAGATTCCCTTACACTTAACCCACTGTTCTTTATAGCCTACACATTAACTGATAGTGCATTTGGTAATGTATAATAGCAGGGGCTGCGGTGTTTATGGCCTGTTAGGAAGCCAGAGTTTTTTCCCCTCTCCCTTTTTCTTCTGGTTGCTCTTAAAATTCCTTCTGCTCTTGCTTTGGATGTGAATTCTTATGGGGTAAAGGTCAAAATAAAAAAAAAAAAAAAAGAGAAATAAACATTAGGTCACAAAGTCTTGAAATGTTATTGCAATTTATATATGGCTGAGAATAAAAATGTGTCTGCCTTCTCTGGGAACACACCTACGTGCAAACAGAGACCTTTATAAAAAATTCTCCTTTATTACCTTGGTGGGGAAAAAAAAATAAAATCAAAGATTGATTTTCTTTTTATGGCTATTATTAACCTTTTGTTACTGGCCAAAAATAATCTGGTTAGAAAATGTGCAATACATCAGAAAGAAAAAAAGAGAAGAAGATTTTAACAGAAAATTAATGTTCAGGAAAAAAATAAGATGACTCTCCCTTCAGCCTTTTCTTCTAAGAGTCAAACTTTACCTCCAAAGTGAGACAAACATCAAAGAAAGGACTTTTCAGACTGCTGCAGCTGTACAGCGTCCCAGATAGAACCATGTCCCGGGCTGCCAGGGGACGGGCAGGTGTCTGATCCGACTCCTGCCCAATTTCAAGGCAAAGCTGTTCCCGTGTGTCTTCGACACAACACTCACCAGCTCTGACTGAAAGGCGACAGTCTAGTCTGGCAGCGGGGCACACAAAGCCCTGTTTGTACTTGCTCCACTGCCCCTCTTCTATGTAAGGAAAAACTCCCATAAAATCCATTACAACTGGAATCACTGAGGTCTAAGCATGAAGATACACGTCTCACCAGCCACGCTTTCTAATACCCATCCCGCCTGCAATTCTTGCCCAGGCAAGGGCAAGAAAGAGTTTTCTACAACAATTTGATGCGTGTGTTAATACCAACACAGCTATTTTTAGCCTGTGAACACTACAGGTCTGCTGACAGGCCTTCAGATCGCAACTGTGCTTATGGTCCACCTCTTACAAATTCCTGAAGCTTTTGTCGCAAGGCTGCTTAAGATCTCATCGGTAAGAGCTAGCAAATTTGTCAGCAGAGGTCTATCTATGTCCAAACTGGGCAAGAGAGCAAAGCCAATTAAGCACCATGCTGGTAAAGAGCAGTCAATCATAATTTGACAGAAATATGTCAGACAAATATTTCCGAACACGTTCGCATTTACACGGGTCAGCTCTTAATTACAGCAAGCTGACAAAACTAGGAGTGTTGACTCATGAGCACAGGCAGACCCAAGCTGGCTGGGATGAACCACTTGCAAAGCAGTTGCTGAACCAGTACAGGTCACAGCCTGGTCTATTAAGGTACCCTAAAACTGCTGTTAGTTAAGCTCAGACATGTGGCCTGCAAACTGCAGCGGCTAAAAAGCTGATTTACATTCAGGTAAGTCAAGTTGTGCTAGAAATAGTGACCCCCAAGGGGGTGAGGTGGGTTTGTGGGGACAGAAATGGCATAAGCTGTTTGACTTTGCCCTCGGTTGGCACTGAGATCCTACTGTAGCTGTTGCGTATCCACCACGTTGTGACCTGAAGCATCACCTACCCCTGTGGGGTGCTCTGCCAAAACCAGGCATTTATTGGATGCTTTTCTGCTAGGCAATGTGGGATTCTTTCCATTAGTCCACAAAGTTCTGCTGAGAGCGCAGTGTTACACAAAATACACCGGAGAACACACTTTATGTAGGAAGCGACCAAACACCTCGTACGCAGGGAATCCCTCTCGCCATCAGTACCACGAGTCACACTGGAAGCCACAGCCAGGTGATCAGAAAACGCTACTGCAGGGAGAAGCTTCAGAAGGAACTGAAAAAGGCCCCTTACGACTATGTATTTCATTTAATCAAGTTCTGTTGTTTTTCCTAGGTTACCTTTTTGGACGTTCTTCTCTGTGATAAATGCCCTGAGAGAACTTGCTATGGAGTTTTGGAAGAATTCAGTTTCACGCAAAACATTTGGTCAGGAGGCTACATAACACATCAATCAAATTCAACTTCTTATTCCTTTCTTACCTGGCTGTTAACGTCAGCAGCGTGCTGTAACAGTACTGAAACCAGGTCCTTGTGTCCTCTGTCGCACGCCCAGTGGAGCAAAGCCCGGCCCTGAAACATCCAGGAGAAAATTAAGAAAGCCAGAAAAAAAAAAAAGCACAGAGAGTCACAGTATTGCTATGAAGGAGTGAATACCAGTAACAAAATAAACACAGACCTTTTAAAAAAAAATACACTAATATTAGTATGTAACATACTATTGGTTCTGATTTGGACTTACAGAATAATGCTAGAAATGTTAAAAGTGACACATAGTTCAGTCTTTCATTAATGTAGCATCAAACCCACAAGCCAGCAAAAATTTAGAGGGGAAAAGCAGCAAAGCATGAAAAGCAGGAGCCATAATAGGATTTGTTTTCCTATATAAATTTGGGATTTTTGAAACCTCTGACTTTTGTTGGAGCAAGGACTTACAGAGCAAGGGTACTATTTTCAATGCTTCCTAAGTCACTCGGACACCAAGTCCCCAGCAGCGCATTCCTCTGGCAGGTCCGAAACACTCAACACCCAAGGGCCCGGGTAGTTTCGCACACTGTAACAGCCCGGCGCAGAGCCTGGAGTGCTTATAATGCAAAAATGCATTCAAAGCAGCAGCGGAGCCTTTTGACAAGCAGCTTGAAGACATTTTCTATAAACTATAGATGATTTTATACATCGGCAACTCCAAAGAGAAAGGTAGCTCCAAATAGCTCGAGATGAAAGGTTTTCTTCTCTATTTACTACGTACACTTAGTAAATTAGATTTACTGTTAGTATCACTCTCTCCTGATTTAGGACGGCATGTGGCACACTTGCAGGGGATTCCTTGGAAATCACCCTGCGGATAACCAGAAAATTATCCCCCAAGCTGCGGCACCGACAGACTGACCTGTGTTTTCCAGTATGCTACACAGATGAAATCAGTGAAACTCGCCCACGCCTGGTTATAAATCTCTCGGCAGAGCAGTGGGGAACAAGGTGAGCAACTCATTTATCTGCTAATGGGAACTGTGAGCCAAATTTCCCCGACCACGGTGCCAAAACAGCAGGAGGGGCAGAAGACACCTGCAACCGAAGCTCACGCTGCTTCTGCTCGATGTTCTTGGGCAGGGCAGCAGAGGTAGAACATGATTTTGAGTAAGGAAATGCAATCTCAGACACAAGGCATTAAGCTTTTTAACACGCTTTTTGACCCAGCAAGTAATTAATTTTTGTAACACATAATTTTAATGTTACACTAATTAACCCTGAATTAGAATGAATTTTCTGACAATGACTTTCTGTGGAAGCACTGATGACATCCATGGGCCATTTAATGATTGATGTTCTTGCACTCAACACCACTATCAAAGTCTAAAAGTGGGAAGAGTATAATATAAACCAATTGGTAAACATGGAAAGATCTTTAATTTATTTTTAGCATACTTTACTCATGTCTGGACTGGTAATTACTTCAGAATTAGCATTTCAGTTGGACAAATAATATCTACTTTTTTGTGCTACAGATGTTTATTTCAAAAGAAGGAAGCACTATCTGCAATAAGCACAATAGCAATAAATACTTCAACAGATGATTTCAGGTTTTTTATATATGCAAGAGGAATAATATTGTAATTACACAAGTGTAATTATTGTGCAATTACACAACAAAATAAAGGCATTTCTATCCTTTATAACAAAATCCACGTTCCAGATTAGTGGCTAGAATATACTGCTTTGCATTTGTCTCTGGACAAGCAAAACCTCATGTTATTGGTGCTGAACTTGGCCGCAACCAGTAAAGGAAATCCAACAGTTCTGGAGAGACAGTGCTGCACAGGGCTACTGCAGCACTGTGCGAGCGGTCCCTTCCCATGACACTGGAAGGCTGGTTCTGCTGCAAATGTTGCCTTTTGAACAAGAAACTGAAGCCTGATCATCTAGAGTCATTAAAAATCTCCTTGTGCTATTTGCAGGAGTATGGATTTCAAGTCTTGGGCCAATTCCACTTTGGGTAATTACACTCTGCTTACCTATATATTTTCTCTGCAATTCTAAATGGATACAATATTTTCCAATTAGTGCCTTAAATGGCTCTGCATCGTAATTGTGCACTATTAAAAAGCTGACACGTTCCACCCAAGAAATGTCTGCACCCTTGCAGCATGCTGTGCCCTGAACATGGCGTGTAAAGGACTTTGGAGACCTTCTGTGCAAGAGCACGTCATTTGATGTGGAAGCAAAAATACCTGCAAAAGAATCTCAACCTACTTAACGTATAACAAAAAGCATTGCTAAGAAAATTGTATTTAAACCAAGATAATATTCACTACTGTTTGCACAGTATCAGGCAAATTAGCTAGAACTCCTGAGTGTTTTAATGTACTTTGGTAGCTATACGGCTACAAAATCCACTTGTTTCCCATGTCTTCCGTAAAACAAACCTTAGCAATAAGACAAACTTAAACTAAATGTGCAATTCAACTCTTTGTATAGCATGGATATCACCTATGCATGTTAAAAAAATTCTTTAGTCTGCATAGCTGCTGCTTTGTATCAGCATATAACGTGGTTCTGCGTTTAAATAACATGGCAGAAATCTTAAGAGCCAGATTGAGCTTTCCCAAAACGCTTCCCATATGACTATTTCATTAGGCAACGACAGACTGAAAGCAACACCAATAATTTTGTAGAGGAAAGCACCGCAGTAGCGAGGTCGCAACTAAACGTAGTCAAACATCAAGGTACTCCTTCCATGCAATTCAAGCACACAGCAGTTGTTGCAGAAGTTACTTGAGAGGATGCATTTTCTCCTACCTTTGAAGTATTTAATAAAAAAAGCATAAAAATAGCCCCAGTGCACTAACCCTGCCTCTTAAATCTTCTGTGCTTTGCTTGGATAACTGCTGCCAGCTTGGCCGGCTTCTGCAGCAGTTTCTCAAGCCAACAGCACATCAATTTTGCTCAGCTCCAAGTCACAGGGTGTTCACAAACAAAGCACAGGACAGGGATTTGTCTCGGATATACCGAGTCTCAGCAGACAAACGGATGGGGATGATTTTCACATCAATTAGCCAGTGCAGAGAAAGAAGAGAACAAAGCCAAACTGAATGGATGCGCTACAATATTACGCTATACTTCTAGGCACGACGTTTGCAGCTGTAATGGCTGTATAGCAATGAGAGCCGCTCTAACTTGTGGCAAGTGCTTTATTACTGGTAATTAAGAAAAGATATATATAGAATGGCTGCATCCTCCCATAACAGCAAAAAACAGCGAATGGAAGGGCCATTGTTGCAATTATACAGGTAAACTTCAGGTTTGATTTGGAAGTCAAGCGCTTTCAGGGCTCTGAAACAGCTGGGGAAGTTTGTCTAATGGGAGTAAGCCTGTAAATCCAGAAGTATGTGATCCTTCTACAAACCCATCTCCCCCCCCGTCCTTTCCTTGGCAAGCTGGCACCAATTTGGCACTTGCTGTCTCAAAAGCATGAGGATCAGGGACTAAGCGAGCATCATTTCAGATGCCTTTCATTAAAGTTTTGGCAAGGGCTTAAATACTGCACACAGGTAACATGTTTGTTTACTGGGATTTCTCCAACAATTAAAAATAAATATTCTCTATCTACAACCTCCACAGCCCTTGGCACAAATTACAAAAGCAACTCATCTATATGCTTTTGAGCAGTTTCTGGTTTGTTAAAAGTCAAAGAAATAGTCTTCTCAAAAAGGCGACTCCGCAGCCATAGTCCATTCCTTATTTCGTTAGTCCTGCTGACATATGTAAGAGAAACGGGTTGTTCTAGTCCGTGCCACTTCTAAGCGAATGCGAGCTATTCTGCTGAACTCTTGGCAATTTAGACACAGTAAATGGAAGCTTGTACATGATTACTGTCATTAGATTCTTTAATTCTAAATTGAAGTTTATTATATCCAAACTGTTAGCAGGTATGCTGGCTTGAATGCTGTACACAAAGATCTCTATTTCTTGCGGGGAGAAGACCACTTATGCTTTGAAAGTCGCCAAGTGCATCTATCTAAACCCCAGAGACTCCTGTTGCCCCTTCCAAAATCCTTTTGCTTCAACTAAGTCGGCCCATCCCCATTTTACAATTTTATTCTTCATTTCTTTTCTCCTTTCGCTAACTTATTTCAGGTTTGCGCAGAATGAGGGGATACAATTAGATACAGTACTAATGCATCACATAGAAATAAGACCTAAACACCTTACAACCTCAGCCAAGCCTTTGTCGTAGAAGGAAAGGCTGAGCCTAGCGTCTTTGCAGTTTAGCACGAGACTATTTGGTGCTCAAGTAGATTTTGTTTCATAACAAGTTAACTCTTTGTACGTATCCCTGCTGCCATTTTAAATTTATGTGCACTTACATCAAAGGATTGACAGCGTGCGCTATGTTCAGAGGGCTAGGAGAGGCATCTTTTGGCTATGGCAGGATGTATTTATACAGTAACACTAAAATAGTTAATAAAAGTGACAAGATTATGCTTGCATACACTTCACTCTACCAAAGGCTCGGTCTGGGTTATCGCTAGTCTAAAATGGGTTCTAAAACTTCAATCAACCTGCATGATACTGGAAAATAAGCTACCCTGCAGACTGTGAGGAACACGTTTGGATACCAAACATTGGTCATGCTTTCAGGTCCCCAACATAACATGAAAGAAATATTTCTTTCACATTTTTCTTTTTAGTACACTAATTTATTATATTTTTTGGACCAGTTAGGGTCAAGCCTAAGGAAGCCAGCACTTGCCAAAAAAAAAAAAAAAAAAGTTCTTGCTTCCCTGTTTAAGCATTTGCTGGGGTAAGCCAAAAATCACTGAGGCTGTGAGAATTTCCTCTACGGGGGAATCTTCCCATGAGCCCTTCACAGGCAGGCAGGGTTCGCAGCTCCTACCTCTGCTGAAGCAATTCCACTCTCTGCAACAGCCATGTGCTAGTACCCATGAGTTCAGAAACAGGACCTCTCTTACATCAGGGACTCATGGATAATTCCCAAGGAGGATGTCACCTGGCAGTTTTCAGATCTGGCTCTAAATATTTACATTGTTAGAGCACAAAAGTATTTCAGCCATCTTTCACCAAATATTTTGATTTTTTTTTTAAAACCCCCCAGTTTCTTTGGCTGAAAACTCACACAGTTGTTGCTTGAACACAAAGGAAGGTACGAGCTTCTGAACCCTGCTAACTGTGAAAGAGCATCTTGCCCTTGGAAATGAAGCAATGCTAACACGATATTATTATACACTTATTGCAAGCATGTGATCCCAAAAATGAGCTTTTATTAATGAAAGGACTCCAGCTGCATTCTGTGGGACTGCCCTGGACATTTGCTGGTGATCGGCAGGAGGAGGGACGGAGGTCAGTAATGGCACTGTTGCAGCAACTACGTGGCACATGACAGTTTCAGTTCATTGAATTTATGATGTGAAATTCCAACCCTGATCGTGAACACCCTCCCTCCTCTCCTCTGAAAATTAATTCACATGAATTCCTGATTAATAATAAAAGGCTCTGCTATCAGCATTCAGAGCCCCAGCCGGGGCTGTCATGGCTCAGAGGGCAGAAATCTGCTTAGAGCTACAGGAGAACCCAACTGAATTTGTGGCGTCTCAGTCTATGAATGTGTAAGCACTTCATCTGTTCACCAAAACACAATGTGCTGGAAAGCAGCGGGCAAAAGGAGCTGTACGTACGACGGGCCACGAGCAGGGCTAGGTGGCAGTATGCAAGCATCGAAACCAAGGCGACAAAGCTGGTACCACAACATTTCCTGAAGGATGAACAGGAAACTGTCCACATCCAGTGTTTACTTTTACCAAGAACAGGATTGAGCCAATTCACAATTTTAGACACTCCTTTTTCTTGAGGTTTCTGGCAATGCCTGTATTAGCTCCCTGTGGGGAAATGGAGTTTTTGAGTTCGATGAGCAGAGAAAGACTGGACGATGTCACTGTTTCCGTGAAGCCGGAAAGCCAGTGTCACTCATTTGCCCTCCACCCGGGAACAATGAAAACCTGATGGCATGGCAGAAATCTTACTTCACCCGTGAACAGAGGTCATCGGTCAAAAAAGCCATTTCCCTCACTTCCTACTTCTATTTGACCACATTTAGTGTACAAGGTGGGGAAAAGAGGGGTGGATTCAGAAGATCTTATTCTGCAAGCGGCTGCTGGCATTGCTGAATGCCAGAAAGTTTCTGATATGCTACAGCATCACAGTTAGTACATCCACACTCGGAAGGCTATTTTCAAATAGATTATCCCTGTCTCTGTGACCAAGTGTTTGTCCAACTGTTGTAGTACCTTGTTATAACAATCCTAAGCAGGGAATTTTGAAAAGGAGCAGCAGTGAATTAATACACCAAACAGTTAAAAGATTGATAGTCTTCATCTTTCTCTCCATACCTCCTCATCTGTGACATTCACATCCACTTTTTTTGATCGAATGGCTTTGGTTACATGGTCAATGTTGTTTTCTCTGCAGTAATCAAAAATGTTCTTGTCCTCTTCCCTATTCAGGAAACAAAAGCAAAAGAAAAAACGTGTTACTGCACAACGCAAAGGCCTCATGCACATCCCATGCTCTAATTTTCTTAAGACATTTCAATAGCATTACTGGACTAAAACAGATGCCTAGTATTGCACATGCAGAATAATATGAGTTTTTTCCAAGGTAAGAGACAGAAGACTCTGGCTCCTGGAAAACAAAGGTTGTTTTTAAACAATATTATGCCAGGGCAAAAGTCAGCTTACTCCTGTGAACGGGCACAGGAAGTCTATAAAGTTAGCCAGCAAAACCCACCTTCAAGTCCTGGTATAAATCACTGCAATCCCACAGAAGAGAAAAGGCTAAAGCTGCTCTTCTCCCTGCTATACAGACCTGTAGCAGCCACTCCGGGTCAGACCAAAGACCCTTCCGATGCCATCCATCTCGGACAGTGGCTACTAAGGGTGGCTTGGAGAAAAAAGCAGAAGAAACAGGACACACGCAAAGCAATCTGTTCCCAATTGGATCCTCCCAGCTTCAGAAACTCAGTGGCTTAAGGATTTCTTTAGCTAGCAGTGGCATCCAGATGAGCAGATTTATCAGCCTTTTCCAGGTCCTCTTCCCAGTCTATTCTGCTCTTTAACCTACTATACTCTTGGCCTCTCTAAAGGACAAGCTCCACAACTTAGTATTCTATGTGTGAAGGGGTGAACAGTAGGCAAGCACTTTCTTTTGGTGGCTTTAAAACAGGTGCCTGCTATTATTGGGTACTCTTTGGTAAGTAATTGTCCAGGGATTTGTGAAAACTTTGGTGTTTGTCTTGGAATCTGACCACGGGGCTTGGTTGGTTTTGTTTTTGGGTTTGGTTTTGTTTTTTTTTTAAGTATTTACCAGCCTGCAGGTGACCCAACTGCAGTCCTCCCTTTAAGACAAAGCTCGACTGTGATCTCTGCTCAGAGCAGCAGGCCAGCGTATGCAGAGGGACCAGACGTGTCTGCACTGGGATGCCAGTGCGTGCTCGCTTAGGTCTGCTTGTGGGCAGAAAGATCAAGCTGTGGTGTCACAGGTGCTTGAGTTACACCTACAGCTTCTTCTAGAGCTAAAAGCAATACCCTGGCTTCAGACATGGTAAAACTTCTGTTCTTATCACCTAACCAAACAGAATCTCTAATGAAGTTAAGGCCTTTCACAGATTCTTAAAACAATACAAAATATCTTTGTACAAGCTTTTGACTGGAGCTACAGAGCTTCGTGGAAGTTAAAGCAGCAAATATTAGGAATCTTTAGCAACAGGCCAGAGCAGAACCAAGACATTTTTATCTTGCTGTAATAAATCTCATGCTGGGAAGTTACTGACACCAGTATTGCTGAGAAAGTACAACTCCCCTACTGTCTGTGCTGGTATGCCGGTGGAGAGTTACTTATTCCAACGGAAAGGGGGCTATGCCATACTAGCACGAGGCACCTTTACAATAACACCTTTAGGTATAGATACACTGATACAGCTGTGTTGCCAGTAAGGAGTAAAGAAAAGAGGTCATGGGTTTTCCAGAAGTGAACCAAAAGCCCAGACACTACCCTCTCTGGTTTTCAGATGAAAACCGTGGCTCAATCAGTGTTGCTCTGGGACTCGGCAGCTTCAAAGAGTTAAACACAAAATAGTTGCCTCTCAAGACATCCCCAGTTTTCAATTGCCTTAACTTAAGACAGACTGGATGTTCAGCAGAACTCAGACCTGACAGCCTCAAAGAAAATTCCTTGTAAAAATTCCTGGAGCAGGTCACACCCAGTAGGGAGGTCGTTCTGCCGTGGGCCTTTCGGGCAGGAGAGAGAACAGCCTCTGCAATGCAACAGGGCAGTTCGAGAACCGATCCCCCGGTGCTAAAAGGCGACAGTACTCCTCCTGTTCATCTGCACTGCTCTTGAACCTCACAGGCTGAACAACATCAGAGCAAGGAAAAGTAAAATCTAAACGTTATTTCCATTTGAGCAGTGGGTTACAAAAGAAGTGATGCTCTCTGACCTATAGTCCCCAAAAAACAATACCAATGCCACCAAGACTACGTCCCCAGTTCCCATCAGGACAGGCAGAGCTCTGTGACACAAGTTTGACTTCCAGTCTAATTATGACACACCTGGCTTACTAAGTTACACTCTATTTTTCAGATCTCAAGCATCTGTTTCCTTCTTCAGTGCCAGTAAAAGGTGGGAGAAAAGTGCTGATATTCAGCTCCTGCAGTAAAGTGGTGCTTTCTCCAAAGAAGTCACTTCTTCTGACCTCTCTCTCATGTTGCTCCTTTAATAGCTCCTTTAGTTCACCTGCACATCACCCCATGTCTTTGCACCCAAGCAGTCCTTCCTCATAGCTGACTTGCACCTTTCCAGCAAAGGGATGGATGCTGCACAAGATTTTACACTCCATGTATAGGCCTAGGGACATTACAGAAGTCTTCCAGTTTCTTAACCAGTCTCTCATGAACTCATTCGCTGGAGGTCTTGTCTGTACACTACACAAGCTCCTGGGAAATAGATCACTGCATGCTTTAGATGCAATTACTTTGAAATCTGAGGAAAAAAGAATCTCACGGCAGGATTAGAAAAGGCAAAAGCTTATATTGCTCGAGATGGAGCTTGACAGATTCATGATGGAGGTTATGAGACATGCCTGCCCCCACTAACAAGGGCTGATTTGATATGCCAGGAAGTCCCTCTAGTCCTACCTTGTTAGTCCAACCTCTCAAACGCACCCTTGGCTGCTGAAAGCAGCCGTTCGGAGGAAGCTGCTGTTCAGGCGACACTGCACAGTAACTTGGTTCCAGCAGCATTTCCCCCACTGCGTGGCCACACACACTTCATTTATTACAAACCACTTTCTTCCGTAACGCCAAAGCAGAGCCCAGTCTCTCAGTGCTAAAGAAGTCCACAGCCATCCTCAGTTACTCCTGGATGGTTTTCTGCGTCACAACCACGAGCTCAGGCTGTGCCCTCCATCCCTGGAGGCAATGCCACCCAAGTCAGCCCGGGCACCGGCGTTTCCACGTGCTGCAGAGCCCCGCCGGACCTCACACGGCAGCACCAGAGGTACCCGAAGGTATGTGGCACCCATAAAGCAGCTGACTGTGCTCCCCGGGTACCATGCTGCGGGCTCTGCACCAGCAGAGAGAGGGCACGTTAACACTGACATACCAAAACCAGGCAATCTTCCTACTGCAGCCTCCAGACAAAACTTCTACAGTTGTTTTTTTTTTCCCCCGAGGATATTATTATCTGTTAGGGGGAAATGACCTGACACAGCTATTTGGATATGATTTAGCTTTTCTGGAATAACCAGCTCTGCAAATGCTCTATATATCCCCCTTCCAAAAAACCACTCTTCTTTCAGAAGTATCCACAATGGAATTAATCCAGAATAGCAATTTCCCCACCTGAAGATAAGGTTTTGGGAAATTTTATCTTTCTACTCTGCATTTATTTCTCAAGCTTTAAACCATTCCTCTGCCTCTGATGCCCTCTTTAAAAAAAATTAGCATATATTATCTTCAACTTTTTGATAAATATTAACCAAGAAAAATGAGCCCTTTCCTGAATAGATTCAAGGGAAGTCTATACAATCGTAACAAAGACATTTTACCTGCAAACAAAATAGTCACGTGAAGCTGCACTCCCGACATTTAAAACAATTTGATCTAGTCATGTGCCAAAACCAGAAAGGGAAGCTGAGAAAAGAGCTCATAGGAGTTAAAACCAGATTTTTTGAGGAACCAATAGTAGGGAAAAAGCTCCACTTGAAAGGTGTGAATGGAATAAAGCCAAGTTACTGTTATTTGCTGACTTTGCATTCAAAACCACACAGGACAAATAAGAAACACAGCTTGAAAACCTTGCAACTCAGGTTTCCCCCCTGCCTTCCCTTTATTTTACACACGTGTATGTGTACATACTGAATAATCCCTCCTACAAGAAAACAAAAAAGGATGCAGTGTTTTTATCAGACTGGTTCCAAGCAGGAATTTGCACTCCACATAGAACTGGTAAGAGCCAGCAGCAAGGCCCAGAAACTGGTAGAAACAGTCTAAAACCAGACAGAAGCACATCAGAAACACAAAAGTGACACTGCAAAGACATTGCTCACATAATATCGGAAGGGGGGATGGACAGGTGGCCACAACCCATTGCACTTCTATCAGTATTTTCAGAAAAATCTCAATTTAAGTAAAAATACAGCATTCAAGACCTCTTCAGATGGGAAAGACCATTAAACTCAACCTCATGGAGATGCGCACAATTATTTAAAACTTGTAGTTAAAAGGAAGACTACGATGCGGTTTTGTTTCCACGTCAGATTGTGTGATATACAAGCACCGGCTCTGCTGAGCTAAAAAGGAGTCTTCAAATCAGCCACCACTTGACTGTCAGTGAAAGCAGTGAATATGTTTGTTTCTTGAGGATGGCCAGAAGGGTTTTCTCTGCTCCCTTGCTGACACGTGTTCAGCCCCCAAAGCTATTATCTTCTGCTCTCCCCCATCCCCAGTAAGAGATGCTAACTGATTTAACGTTGAGCTGAAGCGTATCTGTTGCCTGCAGGTAGCACATGGGCAGCTTTTTCCATCCTTGAATAAAAGCATGTGGAAGGACTTAAACCAAGCCATCTCTTCCCCAAGCTTGGAACTCTTCACAAGCCTTCTTCATAAGCCATCCAAAACACACATGTTGAGCCAACAGTTTTTAAACATCTCGTGGAAAAGATCTGCCACCGGTTAATCAGTCTTCACTTTTCACCTGGAGTGCTGTAAACCTATTTGCTTCCTAAACAGCCACCAAGACTGCCACGAAAAAGGGCACTGAAATGCAGATATTCCACCCTCGCGCAGAGAGCATCCTCCACATTTGCCCCATCCCCTTCCTCCCCCCCTTGCAGGTTACCTCCAGCACAAAGCTCTGGGCAGAGGGCTGCGATCGGGTGCTACTTTGGGCGTCCTCTCTCTCTCTTTCTCTCCCCTTTTCCCGGGGCTGGTCCAAGCCAC